TTTTTTTTAACTTTTATTGTGAATTGAGTGAAGGTTTACAGAACAGGTCAGTTTTATATTCAACAAATCATGCACTTTACTTCACTACATGGTTTCATCCCTAGGACTCCATGTACCTACAGTTACCAGTATTTACCTCTATTCACTTTAACTACTGCATTCCTGCCTGTGTCTCCCACCACCCTCAGACTTCCTCTGCTAACCTCCCTCATACTGTGTATTGCCTGCCCATCACCCATGTTAACATGTGTCTATCCTCTAGCCCAGGAATAATTTTCCCTCTCCCTGCCCCCCATAGCCATCATAGATTGTTTATCAAGAAAACCCTTTAATAATAATAATAAACCATTTTACAACATTGGTTTCATACCATGTTTGAAAATTGGTCCTTTTGTGACCAAGTTCACTCAGCATAATGTTCTCCAGGAACTCACTAGCCACCATGTTGTGCGGTGTTTCACAGATTCATCATTATTAATCAATGTTTTGTAGTATTTCATTGTGTGTATGTACCAAAATTTGTTTAACCATTCTTCTGTTGATGGGCATTTAGGCTGTCTCTATCTTTTTTGGTATGCCTCTTGTAGACAGCATATTTCTGTCATATACTTCTGTTCTTCATGTCTCTTGACCGGTACATCCACCTCTCTAGCTTTTCTTCTAAAGTTTAGAATGCCAGGATTTCATCTGTGTCTGTTTGTTATGCCTCTATATCTTTATTGTAGAGGGTCTCTGCAGTGTGTCTGCTTAATCCGCCGTCTTTCCAGAAATCTTCCATGAACTTTTTGAAGCCCCCTCATACCATTTGCTGATTTCAGCAACAGTTCCTCTTCTTGGTCAGCACTGCCTGTCCAGTGGTGCTGCTTAGTATTATGGGAGCCACATGGTATTGAAAATGTTCTAGTAACTGTATGAAAAAGGTAAAATAAATGAAATTTATTATAAAAACATTTATTTTTTAACACCCCCTCAAAATTCAAATAACAAATACACACAACAAACGAAACCCACTGCCAATGAGTCAGTTTCGACTCCTTGCAAGCCTGTAGGACAAAGGAGAACTGCTCCTTAGGGTTCTGAGACTAAATCTTTATGGAAGCAGACTGCCTCATCTTTCTTCTGTGGAATGACTGATGGGCTTGAACTGACAACCTTGCGATCAGCAGCTCAACACTTAACCCACTATGCCAGCAGGGCTCTTTTATTTAACCCAGTATATTAAAAATAATGTGCTGGACTGGCCACAAGGTTGACGATTCAAACTCACCAGTTGCTCCTTGGAAACCCTAAACAGGGTTGCTATGAGTCAGGAGCTAATCTATGCCACTTAACACAACAGCATGTGACCAGTGTTGTTGTTTAGTGCCATCGAGTGTGTTCCAGCTCATAGCGACACTGCATAGGGTTTCCAAGAAATGGCTGGTGAGTTTGAACCTTGCAGTTCAAACCAACCTTGTAGTCTAGTGCTTATCCTACAGTGCCACAAATATATAAGTAATTTAGATATTATGCGTTCCTTTTTTCTTGTACTAAGTCTTTAAAATCCTGAATACATTTATAGCTCATCTCAATTCCTATTAGCCTAATTCAGACTCAGTTCTATCTAGTTTCTCAGTAGTCACATGGCTAGCAGGTTTCACATGCTGACGCTGATGAAATAGGAGTCTGGTTTCATTGCAGGCAGGCTGCTTGTAGGTACAATTCTAGATGCAGTTTTAAATATGTTATGAACACATTTGCTCTGTTCATGTAATAGTCACTCTCTAAGAAGGAGCATTATGATTTATGGTTCTCATATCACCACCACTGCAATGGTGGTGGTGGCTGTGTGTCGTGGAGTCGATTCCGACTCATAGCGACCCTGCACAGGGTTTCCGAGGCTGTAAATCTTTACGGGAGCAGAAAGCCTCATCTTTCTCCCACGGAACAGCTGGTAGTTTCGAACTGCTGACCTTGCTGTTCACAGCCCGATTCATAACCACTATGCTACCAGAACTCCCTTATATTTATTTATTTATTTTGAGGGGGAGAGGTCAGTATTATTTATTAATAGTCAGAAAGGTTTTGAGTCTTACTAAATAGTAATATGAATGGTTCCCAAATGATGTGTGTATTCAGTCAAATTGTTTCTTCATATTCCATATTAGGTTTCGCTGAATCCAAAAAAAATAATGTATTTGTGCATATGCACTGGTACATTTGTATCCAGATACATATACTTGGATATGAAAATACATAGATATGACATTTTTTCGTTTTGTTAGGTGCCGTCGAGTCCATAGCAATTCATAGTCACCTTATGCATAAGCAGAACAAAACACTGCCTGGGCCTGCGGCAATCCCACAATCATTGGTACGCGTCAGCCAATTGCTGCTGCCTCTGTGCCAATCCACTTTGTTGGGGGTTCTTCCTCCTTTTCACTAACCCACCACTTTACCAAGCATGATATCTTTCACAGGGACTGGTTCCTCCTGATAGTATGTCTAAACTATGAGAGACAAAATGTGGCCATCCTGGCTTCTAAGAAGCATTCTGGTTGTACTCCTTCCAACACCAGATATTTGTTTGTTCTTTTTGTAGTCCATGGTACTTTTAATATGCTCCTTTAATACCATAACTCAAATGCACCGATTCTTTTACAGTCTTCCTTATTCATCATTCAACTCTTATATTTATTTTTAACTAAGTTGAACTTTATGAAACTACTATTTTTACATTTCAAAATGATTGAATATTAGCAGTTTCATGTGGTTTAACCTAATATAGCCAAGCACACGTACTTTCCTCAATATCAAGACACAATTACTGTTCACACCTTATCTTGAATTCCTACCCCAGATATCACAAACTAGCTTTCAGAAGTCCACCATCCATTGTAACCTGACTTTATGCACGATCTGGAAGTGGAAAGAGAAAAGGGAAAGGTAAAATCTTGGGCATAATATGTCTCCTTCCTCTCCTCGGTTATTGTGCTTCCTACTGCGTGTGAATTCACAGCCTAGAGACCGGTTGTCTGCTGTATTTCATCTTCATGTCTTCTACACTGGGTGGCTCCCTCCCTGTCTGGGAGAATACATTATGAAGTTGGTTGTGAATGATTGGTCTGGTACTTGCAGCAAAGGAAGGAAGTACTGATAACTAATGCTGATGAAAGCAGAGTCTGGTTTCATTGGAGGTGGAGGCAGGCTGCTGGTAAAAGTAATTCATTGTGAATGAAGTTGGCAGTGATGAAACTACATGCCAGGGAGGCAGTTTGCCTCTCTGCCTTTATATTTGGGAAGTGCAGAGATTAACCAGCATATATGTAGAGATGTTACTGATGACACTTTTCATGTTCACCAATTAACTCATAGGATTGTTGCTGAATAACATTCAATTAAGAATGAATTATCAAAATGAATATATTAGTAACGTGTGTTTAATATATTTTTAAGTAAAATGTAAATAATAGAAAATATATTAAGTAGAAATTTTGTTTCAAGTTATATGTGTTATTTGTAGGAGAGAAGTATGGATATCTTTCACTTCCAAAGCAAATGGTAAGTCGAAGAATTTTATACATTTCTGAATGGTTTTATTCAGATTCCAAATTATGCTATTACCTACCTATTACTAGTCCCTCCCCCTTCCTATTAACTGACTGCAAGAATACATGACAACACACCAAACACCCACACCCCTCATACTCATCTGGGCTCAATAATTCATTGCAGTGACCACACAGGTCTGGGGTTTATTAGGGAAGGTAATAGATTCTAATTTGAGGGTCAGAAATGCTCAGGGCACAGTTGTTCTAGTCAGCAGCTGATAAATGCCCATAGGATACACCTTTCCACCGTAAGACTCAACCTGAAGGCACTCAGCTATAGCTCTTTGGGTCAGGAAAGCTAGCTCCCCCACACCAGGCTCTCCAAACAAAGTCACTCAGCTGTACTTGCTCCGGGGGCTGGGAAGTCCACTGCTCTGTTTGTGCTCTGGTCTTGGCTCTGCTGCTGCTGCTCCTCGGCCACTCCTCTGGTGTCACAGCTTTCTGTCCCTGGGTCAAGGGGCTTCAGTGTGCAGGGGTCTCAGGGTTCAAAGGATGTGCTCCACTCCTGGCTCTTCTTTGATGGTGTGAGATCCCCACTCCGGATTCCGAGATGGCTCATTTAAAACCCCTGCTAGAGTTTCAAGTGTTTACAATGAATTACAATGAAGTCTGCTGGCATCCACAGCTGAATCATGTCATCCTATCAGTATCTTCTCCCACCTGCTCTTACCCAGACCCAGTAGGGCGGAGACTTTGTTTTAGTGGCAGTTACAGACTATGGCTAGAAGAGACTTCAGATTACTGACTACACCACCATTCCCCCATCCCCATTAATTGACATCATGGAACATACTGAATATTAACTGTTGAGAGTTTTGTAGCAATGTGGATATATCCCTTACTTTGTTATTTGTGTTGGGTTTTGGGGGTTGAGGAAGTAGGAAACAGATGTTGTGATTAATAAAAAGCTGTAATTTGGGGTCAGAGGTCTTTTCATTGTTCTTCGCTTGGGTGTAACTCACAGGGCCATATTGGAACTATTTTCTCCAAACTGAAAACTTTCATACCACTGTACACATAGATGAAAGTACACCATGCATGTGGAAACGAGATACAATGTCATGTCTTAGGGGGACACTGGTCCTAGGATCCCTCTTGAGAATGGAAATCCCTATTCTGTGGATGACAACATTATGACATCCGTCATGGTACCATATGACAGTTTGATGACCTCAGCGATCCATTTGTGGAGGTTAGCCCATGGACTCTTAGAGTTTTGACTAAAATGCAGACTATGGAAATCAGAGATAAATACCTTTAAAAAAATATCTGTTAAAAGAAGGACCTTTCCTCTTAAAAAAAAACAAAACTGTTCAGTGTTCCAGTAACTAATTTCAGAAGTCAGAGGAAAACAGTTGACTGTGTAGAGTATCTTCTGAGCAGGAAGTAACCATTGACAACATGAAAAAAACCAAAGACTTTAAAAGCATACCAAGTGTAAAATTATATCCAGTTCCCCCACTACAAAGGACAGAGCAGTGGCTCACAGTGTGTACAATATTTCAACAGGTCATCTTTTTTAGGTGAGAAGGATACTAAGTCATTAATTTATTCATTCATTAAATATTTATTGAGCATCTATTACTGGTGACACCACGAGGTAAGCATTGGGCTGGTAACTGAAAGGGAGTCGTTCAAACCCACCATAGGAGAAAGATGAGGCAAGTCTGCTCCTGAAAAGATTTGCAGCCTCAGAACCATGTAAGGCAGTTCTGCTCTGCCCTATGGGGTTGCCGTGAGTTGGAATCGACGCCATGACAGTGGTTTGGTTTCCCGTGTATGCTAGGCAGAGGAGCTCTGGGGGCACAGTGGTTAACTCCTTGGCTGTTCACTAAAACGTTGGCAGTTTGAACCTACTAAAATTTCCATGGAGACAAGTATGACAGTCTACTTCCGTAAAGATCTACAGCCTTAAAAACAATAAAATTACAGCCTTGGAAATCCTACATAGCAGTTCTGCCCAGTCAGGTTGCTCTGTCAGAATTAACTTGGCAGCATCCGGTTTGGCTTTTTGGGATGCTGCTGGACACAAGGAACCCCAGTGACTCAGTGATTAAGCACTTGGCTGCTAACTAAAAGGTTGAACCCACTAGATTTTCCACAAGAAAAAGATGTGGCATTTGACTTCCATAAGGATTACATCCTTAGAAACCCTGGAGGGGCAGTTCTCCTCTGTCTTACAAGGAGCTGGATTCTACTCAACAGCAATGGATATGCTAGGCACTGGCAAAATAATATGAAAAACCTATAAGATGTAAATTTCAAGGGTAGGAATTGTATTAAATGTTTATTCTTTGTGGTGTATCCACCACCTTGAACTCTGCTGGCTCAAGTGTGGCACTGAGAAAACAAATTGTTGAATGAATATAAAAGTTAGGCATCTCTGAAGCTTGTCGTTTAATCCAGCACTGTCCAATAGAAATATAATGCAAGGCATATTTATCATTTAAAATGGCCTTGTAGCCATATTTATAAACCAAAAAAAAACAGGTGAAATTAATTTCAGTAATATAGTTTACTTAGTATGATATATTACCAATTCAGTACATAATCTGCATATTATTGATTATATATTTTACATTATTTTCCCCATACAAAGTCTTCAAAATGCGTTTTACATTTACAGCACAACTCAGTTCACACTTAACCATTTCCGTTGCAAGTGCTCAAGAACCACATGTGTCTAGTGGCTGTAATGTACAGGTTGAAACTCTTCAAAAATGAAAATGAAAAGAGAGGAAAGAACAATTATTGAATATTATGAACAGTAATACAGTGATGAAGAGAAGACGGTGAGTTGTCAGAAGAAAGAACTGACAATGAAGAGCTAGACAATGAAATGGAAGTCTGGGAATGTAGAAATGACATTCTACATGGGAGGAATGGCTGGTGGTGGAGGGGCAGTGGAGATGGTTATAAAAGAGCATGTAATAAATCACGCAGTGGGATTTCTGAGTGGATGGCAGCCTTATTGAAGTATAGCATTAGAAAGTCGGATGTAGCTGGTGAAAAAGCAGTCATAATATTGCAAAAATAATTCCATCGCTTTTTAAGAAAATAATTTATGTGCCTTAAGCAGTCCTCTGAACAATTTGACAGTACAGATAGAAATTTTTTATTTTTTAAATTTTGTCGTTTTAAGTGAACTTAACCCTAATAGATGGTATTATATCTAATACTCTACTGCTGTTGTTGTTGTTTAAATGCCGTTGAGTTGGTTCCAACCCATAGCGACCCTGTATGGTGTGTCCAAGGAGTGACTGGTGATCTTGAACCACCAACCTTGCGGTTCAAACAGACTTTGCAGTTCAGCACATTAACCCACAGTGCCACATCAAGTGTCAACAGTCTACTGGGGCTAGTCAAATAAGCATAGATTGACTGTTGTTTACAAACTGTCACTTTGTTGTTGTAAAATGCCGTCGAGTTTGTTCTGACTCATAGCAACCCTGTTTAGGTTTTCTGAGGAGTGGCTAGTGAGCTTGAACCACCGACCTTGCAGTTCAAATGACCTTGTAGTCTAGCACATTAACTTGCATGCCACACCAAACCTCTAGGACTCACTGTGGGGTACTATAAAATACACAGTTTTGAGGGAAGACATCTGGATAGAGCTTTAAATAGGCTGAGTGGAGCAGAAATTTTAGTTAAAAAGTCTTTTTTTGTCCTGAATCATTTCCTTAGTTGAATCTAGCATAGCTGATTATATTATTAGAAAATTGTATCTCTCCTTGGGAAGCAAAATTGAGGCCTGGTACTATTCATGTTTTTCTTTGCATCACTGCAACACATGCTTCAGACTGCCTTGTAACAAACAGAGTGTCCACTAGAGGGCAAGCTTGGTAACATTATCAAGGTGATTCCTGGTACGTGCTGTAGAATAAGCATTGGGCTGTTAACTACAGTTCAAACCCACCAGTCACTCCTTGGAAACCTTTTAGAGTGTCGCTATGAGTCGGAACTGATTGAACAACACTTAACAACAACAATAACATTTATCTTTTCAAGAAGCTCTGGTGGTACTGTAAGATAAGCAATGGGCAGCTAACTACAAGGTTGGCAGATCAAACCTACCAGCTTCTCTGTTGGAGAAATAGGAAGCTTCCTGTTCCCATAAAGATTTGTAGCCTCAGAAACCCCTATTTGGAGTCAACTTGAGGGTTTGTTGTTGTTGTTGTTAGTGCCGTTGATTTGGTTCTGGCACAGTGACCCTGTATAGGGCTTCTGAGGAGCAGCTGGTGGGTTTGAACTGTCAACTTTGTGGGTCACAGTTCAATGCTGATCCTACAGCACCACACCAGGAGTCCCAACTTAAGCATAGTTATTGTTGTTGTTAAGCACTGTTGAGTCGGTTTCGACCCATAGCGACCCTGTATAGGGTTTCCAAGGCTGTAAATCTTTAGGGGAGCACTAGGCCTCATCCCACGGAACCGCTGGTAGTTTCGAACTGCTGAATTGGGGTTAGCAGTCCAACTCGTAACCACTATGCTACCAGAGCTCCTTTAAGCATAGTTGTTGTTGTTATTGTTGTTAAGTGCCATAGAGTCGGTTCCGACCCATAGCAATCCTGTATAGGGTTTCCGAGCAGCAGCTGGTGAGCTTGAACCGCCTACCTTGCAGTTCAAACGGCTTTGCAGTCTGGTGCGTTAACCCGCTGCATCATACCAGGACTCCTTAAGCATAGTAGTGGTGGGTATTTACCTTTTCAGTTGATTTTCTTTTAGATTCCATTATACACTTTAATAATAATAACAATTTGGAAAATTAACAATAGAAATAATGAAAATATAACTAAATTGAAAAAAAATAAAGTGAGGTGTAAAATTCTAAATAAAATATTAAAAACCTTAAGGGTATTCTTAATTTTCTTAAATGCTTTATTTTTTTAACGTCTACTTAGAGTCCTACTGTGGTGTTGAATAATAAGCACTGTACTGTTAACTGAAAGGTTGGTGGTTAAAACCCACCAACTGCTCCTTGAAAACCCTGTACAGCAGAGATGGGGAACCTTCGACCCACAAGCCATCTAAGGGGTCCACATAATCATTTGGTCTGGCCCTGCCAAGGCAACTGCAGTTCCAGCCATCACGTTGTTGTTGTTAAGTGCCACTGAGTTGGTTCTGACCCATAGTGATCCTGTATAGAGTTTCCATGGGGTGGCTGATGGGTTTGAACTGCCAACCTTGTGGTTCAAACTGTCCTTGTGGTCCAGCCTCTTAATCCACAGTGCCACACCAGGACTTCACCCATCACATTAAGAGTGAGTTAATTGTTTGACCAAATATAGCACGCTAATTTTAAGTTGATAATTTTATATGGTTCACAAATGGTTTTATAAATTTTGTCAGAAAAAAAAAGGTTCCCCATCCCTGCTATACAGGGTTGCGGTAAGTCAGAATTGACTCCACAGATTTTAACAACAGGCTAAGGAGGAGTCCTGTGGGATAAGCACCGGACTGTTAACCATAAGGTTGGCAGTTCAAACTCAAGCTGCTTCTCAGAAATCTCATCTAAGTTCACTATGAGTTAGAACTGACTCAGGTGTATTTACAACAAGCCAAGGAAGAAGAGTAAAATGATGTGATTATAGTGATCACTGATCACACAGAGGCACTATATATAGAGAGTTGTATGTGTGTGAGAGAGATTATAGTTTCCTTCTCTGTCCTTAACTTCTAATATTTCTCCTATAGTTATTAGAACATCTCAAAAGGGCTCTGTTAAATAAGCAAGTCTAAGCTCTATGCAATAGGGTAAGAAGGGAGACACTGAAGCTATTGTTTTGCCATGAGAAGTGAAGCAGAGTTGCAGGTCAGAACCCAAGTCCTGGAAATCATAGGGAAACACAGAACTTGTATATATATATACCTTTGTAGAAAAAACATGGCATCAGGATTGGAGGAAGATTCATTAACAACATATGATAATGCAGATGATACAACCTTGCTTGATGAAAGTGAAGAGGACTTAACACATTTACTGATGAAGATCAAAGCCCATAGCCTTCGGTATGGATTACATCTCCATGTAAAGAAAACAAAAATCCTCA